GCCAAGGCTGGTTAGGTGCTGCCATCTAGCAGGCCAGTTACTCTTTTGTATTTAAGAAACTCAGAAACATAGGACCAAGACCAGTTAAAAAGAGGAAGAGAAAATGCAAAACAAGCTGACATTATTCCTTGATCATAATGTTTCCCTATGCATGTATCTTGGAAAACTAGCCAATGTCTTTATTTTCTAAAAAATATCTATGGGGCTCAGAAATACTATTGCAAATAAAGACAACCAAATTTAAATATGAATTAATTAAAATAACCTAAAACACATGAAAGAGAAATTTCCAAGGGGAATTTCTAAATTGCTGCCCACCTTTTCTTAAAATAAAAGAAGTTTTAAAAGATAAAACCCTGCCTCTGGAGTCATGCAGGCTCCATTACTGGAGGTTTTCAGGCAATGGTTGGACGGCCACTTTTCTGGCATGGTATGAATATTCCCCTGCCCTAGGCAGGGGACTGAAGTAGATGATATCCAAGAGATCTTTTAATCCCATGAGTCTGTGAAAGGGTCTACAGAAACCATCAGAATTAGGGGTGGTCTCACAACTACAGCCAATAGGACTTTTCAATTTTTAAAACATATTTAGGTAAAAATGGTATGGGGAGAGAAAAAAAAATACATAAGAACAAAAATCACCAGAGTTCATAAATATCTGGAAAATGTCATTGATCTGCAGGAACATCTCCAAAATGTGTGTTTCTAAGTTAAAAAGGAAGAACATGTTATAAAAGTGTGTGTGTGGGGGGGTCTCATATGCAAAATCCTGTCTGCATATTATACTTCTGAGGACAGAGACTTGATTTTTAACTTACATCACATCACAGTGTTTTAATTTGAAAATGAAAAAGAACATATACAGTATAGGAAAGTGGCCCAGGCCACCAAGGAAAAGTATACACAGATAGCCTAGAACTGTAGTAAAGTGTCAGGAAAGACAAAGTTTGGAATGAAGTGAAGCTAGCAAACATTAAAAACAACGGAAATGGTTTCTTTAGATATGTTCAAAATAGAAATGAAGAGAGATAGCATAATGGCTACTCAATGAAGATGACAAAATGTTAATCTCAACTAAGGAAAAACAGAGCTTTTAATATTAATATTTTAATGATTTGAATAAAGAGATCAATGACATACTTATCAAATTTGCAAATAACACAGAATTGAGCAGGATAAATAATATCCTAAAAGACAGAAATAAAATTCAAAATTATCTTGATAGGTTAAAGAAATGTTTCAAAAGGAACAGAATGAAATTTAATAAAAACAACAGCAAAGTTCCTCATTTAGGAAACAAAAAATCACCTCCCTTCACCAAGAATTAAGCCAATTCTAGTCTTAAGTTCTAGTCTAGCTTGTATAAACTCAGCCTGGATACTTCTGTTTATAGTTCAATGTGTTGTGAGAACCCATAAAATTGGGTAAACTATGGTTCAGTTGCCCATAGGTAATAATGTCATATATCTCCTCACCCCAGTATTTCCAAAACTCTCTTAATTTTACCTTTAGTACTTCATATGTAATTTATGCCACTGACTGTCTGAACTGCCATTTGTTGTGTCCTTATGCAAGGACATGTCTGGAGGAGGAAGAGGGAAAGGAGGAGGACCACGTGATTCTACCAAACTTTCTGTACCAGTTGAATCAGGCTCCAGGGCAAGACCTGAGTTAGACTCAGTATTCCCTATGACTGATTTAGTCCTACTAGCATGGTCACTCTGCCACTGGATCAAATATCAGAAGCCAGAGACGTACTAAACTGTTTGTTTGCAAGAAGATACTTTGGGAATAAACTCTACTCAGCAGTAATTCAGAATCCCTGTATAAGTCTGCAGCCTGGTTAGGATTACCAAGCACCAGCTGAGTTAAGGTTTGTTAACATAATACATCTGGATGGCCTTCAGCCAGATCAGGCTTAACAAGCACCAGATGAATCAGGGCAGAGTAATTGCAGCCTCCAGTATAAAGCTTTCTGCTTGAGGATAACTCATGATCATAAAACTATGTGGTCAGTTACCCCTGCCTCCTGTATTCTGATTCCCTGACAGACCTCTGTACTGTACAAACCCTTTATAACCTGGAGCCTGATCTTTGAACTTTATCTTTGCACTGCAACTCCTTTGTAAAATAGACTTTGGACCATAACTATGCTTCTGAGATTCCCTGACTCTTTAAAGGAAATCTCTTTAAGTTATATACAATGAGTGGGGAGCTGTCTACGCAAGAAAATGAATAGCCTAACCTGAACCTTAAACCTAGCCAACTATGTTGACTATGGTAATATTGCAATATCCCAGAAATTGTTTTTTATATATGCAAGTTAAAAATACTCAAATGATTGATATTACATAGGGCTGGAACTCATCTGCTGATTTTGCTCAATCACATCAAGTCCTAATAGCAATTCATACCAATGGCTGTCATCTCATGGATGTTGTCATGCAAGTTAAGATTTTAGGGTGTGCCTGGGTAGAGAGTTGATTGAATCTTGTTTACTTCAGATGAAAGCCTCTTGGATTATATACAGAAGATATTCTAAAATTTCAATGTTAATTTTGAATCTCACCTTACCTATTTACTCTGAGCACAGGGATATGCATATTTATCCATCTGATGAAAACACAGTTTGAATGAAGAAGCACCTTCCACTCTGTGTCAACTTTTTAACTTACATTATGCTTAACAGCAGTATTCCTCAGATATGCTAACTCATAAAAGTGAGATGGGTAGCTATATAAATCGAATGAATAAATAAATATATGAATACCTGAAATACACAAATCAATGAAATTAAATAGAAACCTCTTTCATTCAAAATAGAGCAAATCTAGTATTGTAAGCAAATGTACAAAGGAGTTCACCAAAACAGAGTCCTATTTTTAAGAACATGTTTAAAGAATAAGCATTATAAGTATTTGACATTTAATTCAATTGGGCTTGCTCTAAAAAGTATGCAGCTTAAAACAGAGCTAAAGTTTGTTATTAAAATACCTGCAACATTATCCCAAGTAGAAATATTTTGGGTGCAGTCATTATAAATTGTTGCTGTTTAAATCTTACAAGCAGCCCTTTCCATCACAGGATTAGAGGTTACTTTGTTTGATTTCCGAAGGGCACAACTAATATAAAATCTCAACATAAAATTAAGAGAATGTCTCTGAAGCCTCCTCTCTTCCAATTCTAAGAAGGGTATTTGCTTTCTTGCATCTATGCTAAACAATTAAATCAAAAGATCAAGAAAATGACCCAGTAAACCAAAGCAGCATATCTAACGGAAAAGGTTACAATATTAAGAGGGTTTGAGTTCAAGGGAAAATAAGGGGAGGCATTACAGAGCTGTATAAAATTGTTCAAGGGAAAATAAGGGGAGGCATTACAGAGCTGTATAAAATTATGCAAAAAATGGTAAATATGGACAGGGGAAAAAAAAGAATTCATAAGGGCGAAATGACATCAGGAGGAGTTTAGAACAGACAAAAAGAAACACTATGTAACACAAGTCATAATTGAACTATGGAATTCAAAGCCACAAGGCGCAGCAAGGCCCCTAATCTGGACAGCTTCATGGGAGAATTAACCAAGTGCATGGAGGATAAGGCTAACAATGGCTACTAGATTATCTTCAGTATCTGAGACAGTAAGGTTCAAACTGTAGCAATTGCTTGGGGACACAAGCAGAAGCATGTTAATGAGTACAACTTGCTTGTAGGCTAACCAAAGACACATGTTTGGCACTGTTGGAACAGAAAGCTGGACTAGGTCAGATCTTTATTTGATCCAGCACAATCCAATAAAAAAATAAAAGTTGCAGTATGATGTTATACATTAGGATGAGGAATGCAAAATCTGCAACATAAATAAATCCAGCTCTGCATGCCCAGAGCTACGCTATGACCTTTATAGGTATATCTTAATATTTCAGACAGCTGCATGACTAAAATCTAACAAAACTGTCCATACCTTTTAGCCAAACCTCCTTTATCATTCCCAAATCCACAATTACCAGGACCCCCCATCTTTAACTTCACTGGCCTTGGTGGAACTTCTGAGCAAATATGCACAGGACTGCACCAAGTACCCATAAGTGTTGCAACAAACATACAGTGTAAAAATTCAGTTCAGGGACACATCAGCCCAGCAACTTCCATCTCTTCTCTGAGAAACCTGAAATGCTGCAATTCTAATCAGACTAATCTGAAAGGGACTTACTAAACTTAATGGTTCCCTCCTAAGGAAGCCTGATCAGAATCAAGCTAATCAATTCACCAGCAGCTACAAAACAACTATGGCAAAGATAAATGTTCTTTATTGCGCTCTTGTCTTTTCTCAAAAAAATCCTTTAATACATTCAGAAGGGAAACTAACGACCAGCCTGGGAGTACATCTCATTGGCCTAGCTCGCCGACACATGATTGTATGCACAATTGTTGCACAATCCGCTTTGGCTGTTGTTTTCTTTCCTCCTCCTTAAAAAGGCGACATCGGCAGCGTTTCTTACCCGTTCGCAAAGAGGGACCAACCTTTCTTTCAGGTCACGTTAAGCGAGGCCTCCAAGGAAGGGGGGGGGTCCCAGCCCTGCGCAGAAGCCCATCCACTCGCCCCCGCCCACCTCCAGGGACCTGGGCCGCGGCCCTGACAGGTTGGGTCCGGAAAGCTTCCCCCCTCCAGCCCCGTCGGCCCCAAGCAGCACCCAGGCCCGAGAAGGGGAAGACGCTGACCAGCCCCCGTCCCCCCGCCGGCGCTCCGGCGAAAGGAAGGCCGTGCAGGAGACGAGCTGGGGAGTGCACAAGACGCCGCCCGGCCGCCGGCCCGCTTTCCATGCGAAGGGCGCCTTGCCCCAGCGGCCCCCGGAAAATGGCTGCCGCTGGAGCCGAACCCTTTCAGGCAGAGCGGCTGCAGCAGAGCGCGCCTCCAGACCCGCCGGCCGCGGGGAGTGGTTGCCATCCGGGGGAGGAAGCGGCGGGAACGGGGCTTTCGAGGCGGAGGCCGCCCTTTACCTTTGAATTTGAGCTCGTGCTGCGGCTCCAGGCTCAAGACCTGCTCAGCTTTCGCCATGTTGGCTCCCGCTCCTCCTCGGCGGCGGTTGAGGCGCCAAGCG